AGCAGGAAGGCTGGGAGGAGAGCCTGACCGCACACCAGCCCCGCCCCAGCTCCCTCCACTCTCTCCTGGGCCCCTCCCTACCTCAACCTGTAAATTATTTTAAATTATAAGGACTGCATGGTAATTTATAGTTTATACAGTTTTAAAGAAATATCATTATTTATTAAATTTTTGGAAGCATCCTGTGTGTTGCCACCCCGGTCATTTTCCCCAGGGTGACCATCTGCAAGTCTGGGGCCAGCCGGGGTTGGGGGAAGGGAGGGGTTGTCCGCAGCAGCCCCTGGCTCCCCTGAAAGGCCTGCCTGGAGCCCTCAGCCCACCCCAGCCGGCACTGCCGCTTCCGGGAAGGATAACTGGTTTCAGATATTAGCCCACAGTGGGCGTGATTAGAAAGGGAAGTCTGCTGGATGGCAACTTTGTTCTGCATTCCAGAGCCAAAGCTCCCTAATCCTTGGATTACCTGCCCCTCGGCCTGGATGCGTGCGCCTTGATTGCTCCACTCGGGGAGCCTGTGGGGCCTCCTCAGAAGGCTCTGTCCTGGGGGGACCCACTCACGCTGTAGGCAGGAGGAGACTCGCACCAAGGACCCGCGAGGCTGGCCGGCTTCTAGGGGAAGAAGATCTGCAAAAAGCTGAGGCGCTATTTGGCAGGGCTGCACCGTAATAACCACATGAGGCCTGTCACGGTGGATCTGATTTCACGGTTCGGATTGTCTTAGTCCTTAAATGGCTTGTCCTCAGCTTCTCCTCCAGCCGCTTCCCACAGAAAGACTTCGTTACCCGAGGAAATAGTAGGGCCTCCACACTCTTGCTACCCACGAAGGGCCTCGCAGCCCAACAGGGGAGCCACCAGGGGAGAGAGGAGGGCGGGAGGGTATGCAAAGGGGGACACACGGAACAGGAGGGGGAAGGTGTTATCTCACCTTTACCAGCCTCCCCTGCCTCCAAGAGACCCAGCACCCTGGGGGGTCTTCTTTTCTGGAGGGATGGGTGCTAATCAACACTGACAACATCAAGAGCATCTTGTCTTAGACAGAGATGGAGGTGACAGAGATGGAGGTGACAGATGGAGGTAACAGAGATGGAGGTGACAGAGATGGAGGTGACAGAAAGACTCCAGGTTACAGTCCAGAACAGGACTCCAACCAGCCTCAAGCTGCCACTTTGCCCTATAACTTTTTTGTTTGTTTGTTTTGTATTTTCTCTGAAGGCACAACTACCTCCCCTCAAGAGAGAGACTTACACTGAACTGGGAATTTTGCTTCCCCCACCCCCCACCCCCCTTCCCTGACCCTAGGTTTTATGAGAACTGGCCCAAATTGTCCCTCTGAAATAAAAAGCAAAAAATCGTGCTTATTCCTCTGTAACTCTCCGTGGCCCACCCCACCCCCAACACAACCCAAATAGGGCGAATTAGAAACGTGGAGAGCTTTGGCACGAGGGGAATCTGATGAGGGCGAAAGCATGATGAAATGTAGCCTGCTTTTCCTATCAACGCGACTGCAGCTAGAATGCAGATTTATGTTAAAGAAACACCAACCAGAACATTCTGGTCAGATAAAGACTGCAGGGGGAGAGGCCTCCCGCTGACCTGTGTCTGTGGCTTTTCCCTGGGCACCAGTGCCAGGGCCTCAGCCATCCTGGCCCCTCTTAACAAACAGTTCTCAGGCGCTTCCTCCTAGGGCTGCGCAGGCCTGCTGGGCCCCGGAGTTGGGGGCCGGGGGGCAAATCACACACACACACACACACACACACTTCCAAAGTTGAGAATGGAAAGAGATCACTTTTGAGTGGGGTGATCTGAGAAGGTCTCAAGACGCAGGTGGTATCTGTGCCCGGCTGGACAAGCAGGCAGGGAGCAGGAGGACCCATGGGCATGGGGAGAAGAGGTGGGGAAAGGGATAGACTTAGAATCTGAACACCTTCTACAGGGGATGCTCTTACCCGGCTAAGAAGACTTGGGGAAGCTTCACAGAGGAGGTGACAATTGATATGAATCTACACATGTGAACAGAGGCTCACCAGCTCAAGAAGAGAGCTAGTGCCACAGCTAATTGACCCGGGCGGGGGGTAGCTGGTTACTGGTGGGCAACCATATGCAGCCCGGGGCCCATCTGGCTCATGCTCAGGGCTTGCACTGCCTCTTGGGGAGAGACAGATATGCCACTTTGA